GGGTGGTTACGCAGGCGGGAACCATCGGTGTTGGAGCTCTCTTGGACCGATGTGGGCTCCTCCTGGAGCGTTTTCGGGCTCCTGAAACCCTCTTGGGCTGAATTCGTTGAAAAATCGTGGAGCTATCTTGGACCCATGTGGGCTCCTCCTGGAGCGTTTTCGGGCTCCTCCTCAACCCTCTTGGGGTGAATTCGTTGGTAAATCTTGGAGCTATCCTGGACCCATTTGGGCTCCCCCTCGAGCGTTTTCGGGCTCCTCCTGAAACCTTCTTGGGCTGAATTCGTTCAAAAATCTTGGAGCTATCTTGGACCCGTGTGGGCTCCTCCTGGAGCGTTTTCGGGCTCCTCCTGAAACCCTCTTGGGCTGAATTTGTTGAAAAACGCATAGGACAGAATGTATTCTCGCTTATGGGGGCTTTCTCGGGAGGCTTCTTGGTGGCCGCTAGAGGAGTCTTGACAGCGTCGTGGCCCGTGTGGAAGCCTGTTGCCAATAGGGGCTCTTTTGGGAGGCCTCTTGGTGGCCTCGTGGGGACTCTTGAACGCGTCGGGTCGTTGGCATTTGCTTGCGTGCTGGAGGGGGCTTTGGGGGAGCCTCTTGGGGCCGCTGGGGGGCCTCTTCAGCGTCGCTTGGGGGCCTCCTGAGGGCCTCTTGGGAGCTTTTGGGGCCTCTCAGGGGCCTCTTGAGGCCTCCTGGGGGCTTCTTAAGGCCGAGGGTTCGAAGTTTTGTTTTGTGTTCCCCCTTTGGGGCATCGCTTGGGGCCCTCTTGGGCCCCTCTTGGGCCGTCTTGGATGCCTCTGGGGCTGTCTTGGAGCCCTCTTGGGCCATCTTGGGGCCTTCTTGGGAGCTTCTTGGGCCCTCTTGGGGCGATCTTGGGGGCCTCTTGGGCCGTCTGGGAGCGTCGGGAAGCCGAAAAGATGGACACGCCAAAATCTGCCCAAAACGTAAGGAAAAGTAATGATTTTTGCCTCTTGGGGCCCTCTGGGGAGTGCTCTTGGAGGCCTCTTGGGGCGTCTGGGGGCCATCTTGGGCGTCTTGGAACGATCGTGTGGCATCTCGGAGCACTCTTGAACCATCTTGGAGGGCTCTTGGCGGCCTCGTGGCCCTTCTTGGGGCTCTCTGGAGGGCCACGGGGGCGGCGCCCAGGAGGAAAACCATCTCTGATCCGAGTCTGCCGGGGATCGCCCGGGGTACTTTTCGTCCGGGGACCCCCAGGGGCCGCCCCGCGCGCGCGAAGTAGAAGTATTATTTAGCAGGTACCAGAGATCTTAGCACGCCTCTGGCCCGTTGGGCCGGCGAATTGCTATTGCCAGACGATGGGGCGCGATGACAAACGTGGTTTCTGATGAGACACAACCATTTGAAATACACATGTACTTGATAGAAATGTACAACTGATTTCTTGGCCTCATTTCCGCTTTCCTGGGTGCGCATGTTTCCGCACATGCGAAAACATGTGGTTGCGTCGTTGCCAAACGAAGCACGAGGGCAGAAGGTGTGATGTCAGAGTGAGGGGGCCGAACGGTCATTCACTATCCCTGGGTGCGTGGCTGAAGTGGAATTCCGCGGTGCGGATTCTCATTGTTGTTGTTGTTGTTTGTTGTTGTTGTTGTTGTTATTGTTGTTGTTGTTGTTGTTGTTGTTGTTGTTGCTGTTGTTGTTTGTTGTTGTTGTTTGTTGTTGATGTTGTTTGTTGTCGTCGTTCCACCCGCAACCCGGCCCGCGACCCACCCGCGACCCAACCCGCGACCCCCCCCCCAACCCACCCGCGACCCACCCGCGACCCACCCGCGACCCACCCCGCGACCCCACCCGCGACCCACCCCGCGACCCACCCCGCGACCCACCCCGCGACCCACCCCGCGACCCACCCGCGACCCACCCCGCGACCCACCCCGCGACCCACCCGCGACCCACCCGCGACCCACCCGCGACCCACCCGCGACCACCCGCGACCCACCCCGCGACCCACCCGCGACCCACCTTCGACCCAAACCACGTTCAAGGTACAAACCACCATTTTCGGCGCCTGCGGCGGGCTTTTTTTGCATTCCTTCCAGGTGGAGAGCCCGCGACCCACCCCGTGACCAACTCGCGACCAACCCGCGACCCAAACCACGTTCAGGGTACAAACCACATTTTTCGGCGCCTGCGGCGGGCATCTTCTGCATTCGTTTGCCCACCCGCGACCACGTTCAGGGTACAAACCACATTTTTGGGCGCCTGCGGCGGGCATCTTTTGCATTCGTTCCCTGTGGAGAACCCGCGGCCCACCCGCGACCCAAACCACGTTCAGTGTACAAACCAATTTGTTTGGCGCCTGCGGCGGGCTGCTTTTGCATTTCTTCCAGGTGGAGGGGGAGAGCCCGCGATCCACCCGCGACCTAAACCACGTTCACTGAACAAACCAATGCCGCACAAGCGCGGCGGCGGTTTGTTGCATGCCGTCTGAGCCCGCAAGGACCTCTTCAAGCCCCGCGCATCCACACCAGCCCGCCCAGCAACTTTGCACTGGCGAGTTGCCTTGATCAGAGAAGGCGGGGGGGAGCATAAAGTGGAACAAAAGATTGCGCTGCAGTTCTCTTGGGAAAAGAGGGGGAGGCAGGAGGAGTAAACAGGGGACGGGGAGAACGCGGAAGAAGAGAGGATGTAAGAAGATTGTGGAACCACAAAAGGAGGAGGAGCAGGAGGACGAGGAGGGGGAGGAGGGGGAGGAGGAGGACGAGGGGGAGGAGGGAGAGGATGATGATGATGGACGACAATGGGAGGACGATGGTGGAGGCCGATGAGGGGGAGGACGACACTGGGAGGACGATGGTGAAAGGACGAGGGGTGGAGAGGGAGGACGAGGAAGAAGAGGAGGAGGACGAGGTGGGGGAGGAGGATGACGATGACGATGAGGACGAGGACGAGGAAAAGGAGGAGGAGGAGGAGGAGGAGGAGGAGGAGGAGGAAGAGGAGGAGGAGGAGGAGAGCGCCATCGACAAGGAAGGTGGGGGCCACACGGTCCGCCGGCTCGACAACGCCCGCGTCGCCCGCGCCCGCCCCCTCACTCTTATCCGCAATTGCGGGGTGCTACGTATGATATCTGAATGTATTGATTAGAATGTTATCAACGATTTCTTGGCCACATCTCCGCTCTCCTGGGAGCGTGCGTGTTCCTCTGCGTCTTTTGCGGCGAACGTCAACTGTTCTCTATTTCCACAAGATGCAGGATTTTCAGATAGAGGTTATGACGCTCCGGAAAAAACGATGTATAGTTAGGATTCCGGTGTAAAAAAGTTAAACCGCCCAGGCCTGTCACCAGCCTGTAGCGGGAGCATCTCTATTGGATCTCAATTGAGTTCCAATAGATCATTTGGGGTACCACAAGGATAAAAATAGGACGCCATCCGGGGCACAATATGAGTCAAAGAGGATCGGTTTTCGTTGAGTTACAGTTGGGTCCTGGTGGGATCCCAGTGGTATGCCCGTATGAATCGAAAAGGAAGGGTTCCGAGTAGATTCCAATGCGATACCCTCCGTTTTCGCCAATATTGTCTTGGTGCGATTCCAAGAAAGACGGTTCCTATTGCTTTCCAATAAGACCCACAAGGATGCCCATTGGGCTTCCATATAGTACCGCCAGTGCGTTTCCCGCAGCATTCCGATTAGAAGGTTCCCCGATTGTAATACAATTGGGCGTCCAATCGGTTTCCTCTAGGAAGGGCCCCAACGGGTTTCAATAGGAAGCACCCCTATCGGATTCCACTAGGACACCCGTAGACCCCATATCGAGGAATCTTGTTGGATACCAATGGGATTTATCTGGTACCAACCGGTTCCCAGTGGGAAGGGCGCCAATAGGATTCTTGTTGGATACCATTAGGAATCTGCCACTTCACAGGGTTTCGCTTCAGACGGGCCACTTTACAACTAACACGCTTCAGAGAGCGCAGTGTCTCCCTCACGTGGACCAACGGAGATTTCGGACATTGGAGAACACGTGTCGCTTGTGTGCGTTTACTCGCTGGGTTGTAAAGTGGCCTTCCTGGTTGTCAAATGCCCCTCTGGGAGAACCCATGCTGGTTGCAAAATGCTGTAAAGCGCCCCATATGGTTGTAAAGTGGCCGCTCTGGTTGCAGTGTGACCCACACGCCCGCTTCCGCCCCCAGGGGCCTGGGCCTGGACCCTGCCCCCGGGCACCCCCTCCGCTGTCGGATAGCGGCGATCATTCTCACGGCGCGCGCCTCCTCCGAGGAGGGAGGGGGAGGAGGAGGGGGGGGAGGAGGAGGAGGAGGAGGAGGAGGAGGCGGAGGAGGAGGAGGAGGGAGGAGGAGGAGGAGGAGGGGAGGGAGGAGGAGGGGTTTCTTGTCTCCTCCCCTCCTCCTCCTCCTCCTCCTCCTCTCCTCCTCCGCCCTCTCTCCTCCTCCTCCTCCTCCTCCTCCTCCTCTCTCCTCCCCCTCCTCCTCCTCCTCCTCCTCCTCCTCCTCTCCTCCTCCTCCTCCTCCTCCTCCTCCTCCTCCTCCTCCTCCTCCTCGGGTGGTCGGCGCGGGCGCGGCGCCGCGCGGCGCGAAGCTCTGACCCCTATCGTGTTGAGAGAAATCACGACGGAAGGTCTTGGTATTGCCAGGGGCCCTCACTGGGCGCTGGGGCTCTCGAAAAATGGCCCGGGATGCAGCGACGGCCCCGGGGAAGTGGCCGACAGACCTCTGGGGATCGGCGTCGCGAAGAAAAAAAACACAGCGTCGGAGGTTTGGGAACGTTTACGGTCGGAATATTTGGCTTAGCGTGTCGCGCGATTTGGCCCACCATGTTTCGGCGCGGCACGCTATCCACTTCCCGGTCCCCACGCGTCCACGTTTCGAGCCTTTCCCGGCCTCCCGCCCGCGACACGGCATCCGCTTGCAAGGCATGGCGCGACGCCGGGGCCGCCGCCGCGGCACGCCAAGCAAACACTCCCGACCGTGGCTGGGCGGCCGGGGAGGACGAAGACGAAGAGACGAGCCGCACTCCGCGCCCAGGCAGCGCGTGGCCAGGCGGCGCCCCGCTGCAGGCCGCTCCGCCGTGGCCCACCGTCTCTTCGGCCCATCCTGCCCGCGCACCCAGCCTCGACCTGAGGCGTTTAACAAAGGGCCTCGCCTTCGAGGATCGAAGGGGTTGCCACCTCTTCCTCGGCGGAAGCTTCGGCCACGCGCAGAGGGGGGTAGGGAGAGGGGGAAGGCTTCTTAGAGGCACCCCTGCTTCGTGGAAGGCGCGGGCCTTGTCTGTAGATGTAGGCCCACCCCTTCTAAGGATCGGGGGAGCGTAAGACCCAGGTTTGCCAGGACTCGGGTTCGCCATCGTTTTTGACGACCGCGACTCGGATTTTGACGAGTAGGAGTTTCGTGGGATGTCTGCAGCGGGAGGAATCGTCAAGATGCAGGCTCGGCCTCGTCATTTTTTTGACGACCTCGTCGGGGATTTCCGAGTCCCCTGTACCTGGGTCTTACGCCCCCCTGAAAGGAGCAGAAGCCTTCCCCCCTCCCCCGAATTACCCCATGGTGTGCGACGCCAAGAGCTGGCAGAAGCAGAACGAGGGCTCGCTCCGCCGGCGGAAGCCCGCGGAAGGCCAGCAGAAGCCAGCGGAGGTAGAGATGCGTCCCCAAACCTCCTCTTTCTCCGCCTTTGCCCTCCTGCCAACCCTCCTCCTCCTCCTCCTCCTCCTCCTCCTCCTCCTCCTCCTCCTCCTCCTCCTCTTCCTCCTCCTCCTCCTTCTCCTCCTCCTTCTCCTGCCCCTGCTCCTGCTTCTTCTCCTCCTCTGGAGAGTTGGCAGCCTTTTGGGGCTCCGGGTTTCCGGAATCTGCCACCTCTCGCCAGGAGCGAAAGAAGGGCGTACACGTACATGAATCCACGCTGGCTTCGAGAGCACGCACTGCACAACTGTTCGTATAACGCGGCCGTTCTCGTGGATCGAGGGGCCGCGTTCATGTACATAGCTGGGCGCGTACGTCCTTTGTGGGCTCCCTATCTCGCCGCGGCCCCGGCTCTCTCGGAAGGCCCGAGGCGGTGCGGTGCTGACACCGTCGGGCGGGCCAGCAGTGACCGCGCCGTCGGGCTCGAGCTTCGAGGTGATCGGGCGCGTTCGTCGGTTCCCGCCGGTATCCAGCAATTGCGCCTCGCCGAGGACGTTCCGCGGGTGCCTGAATGGTCCCGAACGACCGCCAGAACCGAAAACCGGTGGGTACCGACAGGGAAGGGGGAAATTGGCCCAGGGCCATCGAGAATGAACCCCTAACCTTAATATCACAGTGAAGACGTGGCCTCACTGAGGCCCCCGCCTTTGCACCACCTGGACGGTCTGGCTCGATACATCTGCTGACAGAATCCCCTCATCCCTAATGCGGCCCTCCTAACTTGGAGGTTCAGGAGGGGAAAAAACACACAGACACAATTAATCATGGACACCCAGGAAAATATGGGAAAATATGGGAAGTGGGGGGGGAGACAGAAACCCAGGAAATATAGGAAAGTGTGGGGAATCCTTCTAGTTGTGTGTATTCATTTGTGTGTCCTGGGGCCCCTTCAGAGGTCCCCTGCCAGAGGATCAGGGGGGCCCCCTGGAGCATCGAGCCCCCGTCGGCCATGCCTCGCCAAGCGGGGCCCGGACGCCCCGCCGCGCCCCAGGGGGACGTCCGGCTTCGCGCTGTCGGGGGCCTGCCGCCGGTCTGTCGGCAGTGCACCGCCGATTCCAGAAGCCAACGTTCCGCCTATGTTGCTCCCATCGCATTTGAGGACCACATCCAGGAAATAAGTTCGAGCACCCGAAAGAGTGTCGAGGGAGCGTCGAAAGAGTGTCGGACGAGTGTCTCCCAGGGCCCGACACGTGAAAGCCCTCGAGTTTCCGTACTTTGTGGCTGCTCGACAGTCTTTCTGGTGGTCGAGGCTAAAGTAGGTTGGAGCATCATGACGTTCCGCCCGTGAGCAGGTCCTCCTTTGCAGTCGACCCACCTGGTAAGGATGGGCAACCTTCCCAAGGGTACCCTTGCCTCCTTCCCTCCTCGGCCCATCCGTGGCCACTTTCGCTGGCCGCGCCCCGCTCGAAAAGCTTCGAAGTGGCCTTCCCAGGCCCTTGCATCCTCATCGTGCATCCTTATGATACGGGTCGACTGTATCTTTCCCCCTCGGATGCAGGGTCGCCGCAGGGTTTGGGGCCAGCCGCCGTGTCTCTCGGGTGGCCCCAAGAGCGGTGCGGCGACGGACGCGCGGTGAGATCTCTGCGGATTCCGAGGTCACCACGCGGCCTGTCGCTGTGGGGACCGCGAGTCCTCGACCTCCGCCGCTTCTCCTCCCGCCCCGAAACATCGGAGCACGGGCCGTGCCGGGCCCCGGGGAGGTCCGACGGGGGGGCCACGGACGGGCCCCGGGAGGCCCACGGACGGGCCCATGGGGCGTAGGATCCACACGAACGTTGGTCAGCCACGCGCAGAGGGGGCTGGGGGGACGGGGGGAGGGCTTCTTGGAAGCACCCCCTGCTAAGCAGAAGGCGCGAGCCTCATCTATGGACGAGAGGCCGGCGCCCCCTGAGGAGCAGCCTCCTCCTAGGAAGCCCCCCTAAAGCAGGGCCAGGATCGGGACAAATCGCTCCGGGGCGTTCCGGAGCGCTCTCAGAGCGTTCCGGAACGCTCTGGAGCGGCCGCGGCGCCCTATACATCCTCCAAACCCGCCGATTCTCAGAGATTTCGAGTTCTCCCGATCCGATTTTGTCCCGATCCTCGCGTCGTTTACCCCCCCCCCCTCCACCCCCCTGTGCGCGCCGCCAGGTTGGGGCCCCGAGAGCTCTGGAGTCCCCCACGCACTGGGAGCAGGAGGCCTCTGAGGTCTGGGCATGCCGCCCCCCCGCTGCGGCTCCCGGGAGCCAGGCGGCGGCGGCGGCAGCGGGCGCTGCTGCACTGTCGTGCCTCGCCGGGGTCGGTCTCTCCCAGACTCAGGAGGGGAAAAAACACACAGACACAATGAATCGTCGACTCCCCAGAAAATATTGGAAAATATGGGAAGTGGTGGGGAAGACAACAACCCAGGAAATATGGGAAAAGATGGGGCATATGTTTATTTGTGTGTATTTGTTTGTGTGTCCCAGGGCCCCTTCACAGACGTGGATGCTGCACCCTCCGGCGCTCCTGTTTCTCATGCTTACAGCTGCACTTGGCGGGCCACTCGTTGGGGAACAGGAAGCACCAGCAGGAGCAGAGAGAGAGTGTAATTACAGGACCTCTCGTGGCAGCACTGTAGCTGCAGTGGCGGCCGTTGTTGTGGCTGCATGCTTGGTGGTGTGCAGCTCCAGCATCGAAGGTTGTAGCAGATGGTAGGTCTGACAGATGCTTGGCGTTCTGTAAATTGTTTGGGCCCTCCACTCTCCCCCACTCTGCCCTCCTCCTCGTCCTCCTCCTCCTCCTCCTCCTCCTCCACCGGTTGCATGCTCGAGCCTCGCCCTGGGCGAACTGTCCCTACGCTGGCCCAACGCAGTAGGCTGCGCCGAATAGCAGTGGCCGCGGCGCGCCGTGCGGAGACGCTCGAGGAATTTACTGTGTGGGTGGCCGGTGAGCCAGGCGGGTCAGTCACAGGGCTCCGGTCGCGTTCTTTGTCGGACCGAGGTGGGCACGATGCGCCCCTGATGTCAGGTTTGGGAGTCCAGAAATTCTCGGCCTCGTCCTCCTCCTTTCCTCCTCCTCCTCCTCCTCCTCCTCCTCCTCCTCCTCCTCCTCTTCCTCCTCCACCTGTTCGTCTTCAAAGCGTTGTAGTGTCTGGCCTTGCCGAGCCTGTTCTGAGCGGGATACCGAGAAGCCTCTCGAGCATGGTCGGTTGCAGGGGACTCCGCTGTCGCATTCTCTTCCAAGTTACGTAATCAGTCGTGGGTGTTTGCAGCTCTTCGGGTCAGCCGATGCTTATCAGCCAATATTTGGCACTGTGGCTTGATGTTTTGTCAACGGTGGCGCATGTGCTTGATGATTGGCTTCGGGCCAGGGTATGAGACCTTGACACGCTGACAGGGTTATCCTCACTCGCTTCTTCCTTCCATCCCCGTTTTCTTCTTAGCGCTATCAATATTAGTTGTCTTACTTGTATGATTACTCGTGTCCTCCTCCCTCCTCCCTCGTGCTGCAACTGCATTGTCGAGTTCCCGTTCAGGCCACGGTTCATAGCATGAGTTTGCCTATTGCAGGTCGGCTTGTGCGGTGTTCCCGATGTATGTGTTCATTCGCAATGTGGTTGTGTTACCCGCGATGTTTTGCGTGGAGAAATTGGTTGCATTGAAAAATTGTACGTTTGCAGTGGCAGTGGCATTTAAAGACGCAAGCGAATATATTTACGCAGAGTGGGCGGGGGCTACGGTGGGGAAGTAAGGTTGCTTTCGTGAGGTTACGACCACGGTCTCTTAGAGTAGCCCGGGCCAAAGTGATAATGTTAAAGTTGCAATTGCAATACCCGCGATAGTATCTTGAGTTCCTCATCCTCCTCATATTCCTCCCCCTCATTTCCCCCTCGCCGTCCAGCTCCGCATACCTGTTTTTCCGTCGCCCTCCTGAGCTGCCTACTGCGGTGCCTTTCGGTGCGCTGTCCAAGCATTCGCAGGAAGACCGATGAGTGCGCCTTTCGAGCTTGCAGAGGGGACGGCCCTCACATTGTTTATACCTTCTCGGCGAAGCGTATGCTGCGTGGGCCCACCTCAGAGAGAAGGAGCTGTAGTCTTTGTTGTGGAGTTGCCCGTCAAGGGAATGCAAATCAAGGGGCCCGTGATTCATTGGCGACTGCTCGTGGGTAAGGACTTGGGTTGCGGTAAATACCGTCCCCTGCATGCTATGCGTTGGCTGCATGCCAGTTTGATTGAATTCTCGGTTCGGTTATCTTCCTCCCCCGTTCGATTCGATTGGGTTCGTTTTGCGACCCAAAGTCTGGTGGACCCTCCTCTTCGCGTGAAGAACGTTTCTGACCCCTTTCCTGATTTTTGTCGTCTTTTGGCAGAACTGGTTAGGACTGGTTGCACGGCTCCCTCTTGCACGGCGCCTGTGCGGATCG